TAGGGGGGAGAGAGAGAGAGAGAGAGAGAGAGAGAGAGAGAGAGAGAGAGAGAGAGAGAGAGTGTGAGAGAGAGAGGGAGAGGAAAAATCTTCTGTTTCCACTGAGTATCGTTGCTTTTTCTTCTTTTCAAAAAAATAAAAACGATCTTCCTACCTTTTCTTTCTGTTATCCGATTTTCGCTTTTGTTTCTTCTTTCTCTTCGATAAACGAAATAAATGAAACGTGTTCGGGGACTCTGATCCCCGATGATATTATCCCATTTCCTTATAATCGTATTGCCACTCGAACCGCTGACAAAATAAAAAAACTGACAATGGGATAAACGAGACATCTGACTAATAAATAACAGATACTAATAATAATAAATAATATTAATAATACTAACAAATAATAACGATGATGATGGGATGGGGAGGATAAAACCCAAAATAATAAATAATAATAAAAAGGGAATAAAAGAATTGTTATAAGTTGTAACTGTTGTTTTTTGGTACACGCAGATATTACATTCGATCACCCAAAAACATGGCGACCGCCGTTGATTATTTACGCAACCCCACCCCCTTACCTCCCATCGATTCTCCTCTTCTTTTCGCGTCGATCGTCGATCTGGGCGATATATAGATTGCTCGGAAAAGCAACTCGATTAATTTCGACTAATTGTTCTACAACTAAAAAGAATACTTAGAAAATTCAAGCGACGATCGAGAGCCGACTTTTGAAACGTCTTATTACGTATAGATAGATTGAGTAACCTCGCATTACGATTACTTCTGTATATCTGAATGGGCCACGCGAAGATGAGCCTCGTGGGTGTGTGGGTGGGGATAAAAGGGAAGAGGAAAAGAGAGAACGAGAGAGTGAGAGAGAGAAAGAGTATATGTGTGCATTTGCGTGTGTGTATGTCTGTGTGTGTAAGAGAGAGAACAATGTGTAAATGATTTGACTCTGTACACATTGTTTACTTAGCGTGTTCTCGATCCTATCGACTCACAACACAGCACGAATCCTAAACGGGACAAGATGAAGACCGTTTTTTGATTGCTCCGTGACTCGACTAGTGTACTTATTTCATTATCACTGCCGAGACTATGCGAGTCAATTTGTCAAATTGATACGAAGGCGGACGAGGAATCACGACTTTTTGTTATTCACTATCATTCGTTTTTCTTCCAAATAAATATTATGTGCTCCCAGGGTTGGCCCATATTCTGTTATATATATACATATATATTTCATTCCCCTACGATATATATAATTCGATGTATTTGTTTGAAATATGATGTTATAAATAAAACGTAGTTGGTCGAATACGAACGGGTGAAAACTACGGGAGCACCTCTTGCATAATTATGTTTGAGTGAAGAGAAAGAATCCTCGGAGAGAGGAACAGAAAGTGAGAGAAAGAAAAGAACGGAAAGAGCGTGCGATCTTGTTAGATGTAGATTCTACATTGTAGAGCGAGATTCTGCAGTCTTCCCTCGCGCGCGAGAATCGAGTAAACGTGCGCACGCGAGACACGATGGATTCCGTACGAAGATATAATATAAATATAACAATAAATATATATATATAAATATATATATGAATATATATATATAAATATATATATATAAATATATATATGAATATATACATAAATATATATATAAATATATAAATATATATATATATATATATATATATATATATATATATATAAAATCACAATTTGCAAACCTACTGTGCACTGTCAAAATGAAACATAATGAAAAAAAAATGAAATAGCGAGTTAAGGGTTTTTTAACATACATTACGAACATTGTACTGACTTTTTTAATGAAGTTTTATCACGTTACGGAGTACTATATAAATATACATATATAAAT